AATGAAATATAGAGTATAAATGATTTGCACATCATTGCATTTTGTTTTTATTTACATTTTGCGCAGCATCCCAACTTTTTTGGAAACAGGGTTGTAATAATAATAAGAAGAAGAACAATAACTGCAACTGCTAAAAATAATGCACAAAAAAGATGTGAATTTTAAAATAACTCTAACAGGGTAAAGACCCGTGTGCTGGCTTTAGAGTGGGCTGTGCTCTGTTTAACTTCTGCATTTTCGAAAAAAGAAAAACAATGTCAGCAAATGATTTTGCATGAAGTCATTGTTTAAGTCACACGTGCACTCCCCAACCTAAAACCCCTCTCCGCGTCTAGCCTAGACTGTTTAGCGGTGACAGCTGTGTTGTCTGTGCCAGCTCAGCGCGCTCATGTTAAAGCACTCATGTTTCAGAGTTGAACAACATTCTCGCTTTAGATCAGACTCACAGACTGGAATCCAAGCTTTCCTTAATCTGGTTGGGACAGTCTGTGTAGCTGTAGCGCCGCGTCAGACTGATGGCATTGTGTGTCTGTAACTCAGGACGTGGGCGGAGCTCACAGTAGCTCACAGTAACTCACAGTAGCTCACAGTAACTCACAGTAACTCACAGTAACTCACAGTAGCTCACAGTAACTCACAGTAACTCACAGTAGCTCACAGTAACTCACAGTAACTCACAGTAGCTCACAGTAACTCACAGTAACTCACAGTAGCTCACAGTAACTCACAGTAACTCACAGTAAGTGTCGTTTCAGTCTGTTTTCTGCTGCTGTAGCTGTGAGTTTAAAGTGTCTGCAGTGATGATGCAGCTTGTGGTCCTGTGCAAACATTTGTCATCACTCACTGTCACTCAGATCTGCTCTCTATTCTTAGTGGAATGTGGAAAGTGGAATGAAATTCTGAGGAGAGGAATGTTGATCTGGGAGCACTGGTTGCTTTTTGGAATTTTGATTATTACAGTTAATTCTGATCTGAGATCAGCTCTCTTTAATGATCCTGCAGATCCTTTGAGAGTTTGCACACAATAGAACAGGATGTGGGTCAAATAGATACTGAATCAGAAGTAGATTATAAATATAACCAGAGAGAGAGAGAGAGAGAGAGAGAGGGAGAGAGAGAGATGGAGAGTGAAAGAGCGAGAGTGATAAGAGGGAGATGAGAAAAGAAGAGAGACAAGAAGAAAGCAGGGGAGAGAGATGGAGAGGGACAGATGAGAGAGAGACAAAGACAGAAAAGGAGAGACACAGCAAAAGAGACGAGGAGACAGGAAGAGAGTAAGAAGAGAGAAATGAGATGGGGAACAGAGAGAGCGATAGAAAGATGGAGTGAGAGTGAAAAAGAAAGATGGAGAAGGAGGGAAGCAGGTGAAAGAGGGTGAGTAGAGAGATACGAGATGGGGAGAGAAACAGAGAGTAAGAGGGGGTGAAGGAGAGAGGAAAGAGGTGAAGAGAAAGGAACGTTGGGGAAAAGCAACACATAAGAAATACATCATCAGAGAAAAGAATAAAATAATAGTAATAAAGAAGTCTCTTTAAAAGTGGGGGTGAGTTGCTTGAGGTAAACAATAGACATGCAGCAGTAAAATTCATTAGATCACAATTAGAGAAAGAACTGAAAGAACCAAACGAGGAAAAACACTGGAAGATTGTGGGTTTGATAGGAAAACCTTATAGGAGACTTTATCGATTTCTGTGCTTAATGCTCAGAGATGCACAGTGACCCAAAAGTCATTTAGACATTTGTGCCGTACTTTAAAATGTGTTGATTTCATTATGGTGGGAAACAAAATGTCAAACCAAGTGGTCTTTATTTTAAACAGACCGTTCCAGGACTGTCATTTAGTTCTTGGTAAATTATTCCTTCAAATGGCAGCTGATGAGTTTCAGATCATTATCGCTAGAATGTGTTACACATACTGATAGGAGTGCATGTTCAGCTCCTCTCTTGGCAGCGTTATCTTGGAGCCGTGTGGTTAACAGTTACATAGATCTACATCTAAATGTGGTTTAGCGCCTATTTCACTCTGTTTCTGTTGAAATTCTTGGCAGAGATCAGAAGATTGTTTATGTCACCAGTTGGCCATAAGTGCATTGCTTTCATCTTGAAATTGCTGACCATAGCAAAAGTTAAGCTTATTTTTCAGTTTGTTTTTGTTTTATCTTGGTTTTTACTTTTGCTTTTTATTAATTGACTTTATCAATTATCCAGGAAAATTAAAGTGCTGTGTATAGTTCTGTCAAGTTTATTGTTAACAGAATACTTAAATTGTATTGGTTCAGATATTAAAAGAAAATATAATGTAAGACAAAGACAACCTGAGTAAACACAAATTACATATTTTTAAATGATTCATTCATTTATTAAAGGAAAAAACTTTTCCCACACCAAATGGTCTGAGTGAAAAGCCCTCAACTTAGCCCTCAGATTAGACAAACACCCCAGACTTGAATGCAGCCAGCTGTGAACCTAAACATCACTTCCCCACCAAGCAGCATATTATTCAGCAGCAAAAAGAATTTCTAGTTGCATATATAATGTGAATAATACAGGTCCTAAAACAGAGCCTTGTGGAACACCATACTTTACTTTTGCGAGGACAGATGATTCACCGTTTATATTAACAAACTGATAGCGGTCAGTGAGGTAGGACCGGAACCAGGAAAGAGCTATTCCTGTTACTCCTACAAGGTTTTCTAGTCTGTCTAATAAGGTAGAGTGGTCTATCTTGTCAAATGCTGCACTAAGATCGAGGGGGACACATTTCCTTGGTAATAGAATAATAAGAGCTCGTTTGCTGTCTCTGTACTATGATGTGGTCTAAAACCAGGCTGAAATTTTTTGTGTATTTGATTCCTATACAAAAAGGAACTTAATTGTTTTGCCACAACTTTTTCCAAGATCTTTGATATAAAGGGGAGATTCGAGATGGGTCTATAATTTGATAGTTCGCAGGGATCGAGGTTCGCTTTCTTAATCAGAGTCTAATTACTGCTAGTTTAAGAGATTTTGGGATGTACCCAAGGCTAAGAGAAGAGTTTATTATTGACAGAATAGGCCTGGTTATTTCTGGCAAAATTTCCTTGAGTAAACCTGTAGGAATCAGATCTAATATACAAGTAGAAGATTTTGAGGAGGAAACAATTTTAACTAGTTCATTTTGTTGAAGTAAGGTAAATGATTCCAGCCTCTCTGCAGTGATTATAATATTTTCAAGATTGAGGCTGGCATTACAAGGCAGCAGGTTTGTAGAGTTTAATTGCGTATTCTGAATTTTCTGCCTAATTTTTCAATTTTATCACTAAAGAAATTCATAAAATCATTGCTGCTATAGGCTGATGGCATCTGGGGTTACAAAGCCATTTCTAAGACTCTTCAGTGGTGAATCTTGCAAGAAGTCGCCAGGCTACCAATATTCCTCCAAGAGTGCTGTGACTCCAAAAAGTCACAAAAAGACCTAGACAAACATCTAAGAAACCGCAGGCCTCGCTCACCTCAGATAAGGTCAGCATTCATGATTCCTCCATTAGAAAAAGACTGAGCGAAAAAAAGTCATCCATGGGAGAATTAAAAGGCATAAACCACTGCTAACCAAGAGAAACACAAAGCTTCACATTTGCAAAAAACCATATTGATGACCCCCAGTCTAAAGGGTTAAAAAATAGATTTTTGGAAGACAGGGGTCCCATTACAGCTAAAATCATATCTGCAGTGAAACATGGTGGTGGTAGTGTGATGGTGTGTATGGTCTACCATAAAATCTTGCGGGCAAATGTTTTGTCATCAGTCTTTAATCTGAAGCTCAAGCAAAATTGAGTTTTGCAGCAAGACTCCAAGAGCAAATCCACCTCTGAATGGCTCCATAGAAGTAAAATTGAGGTTCACGTCCTGACTTCTAAATCCTGAACCTACTGAAATTCTGTGGAAGGATCTTAAATGAGCAGTGCGTGCTAGAAAGCCCTCCAGTGCAGCTGAATAATAGCAAATTCGCAAACGGTGGAAAGATCGTGAAAGATTGATCTCCAGCTATAGGAAGTGTTTGGTTTCAGTTGTTGCTGCTAAATGTTTCACAAACAGTTATTAAGTTTAACATCACTTTTTATGTTTATTTTTCTCATGGGTGATTATAGCTGCTCTTTCAACAAATGAATTGACCATTTCTTGTCTTAAATTGCATTTTGTATGAGGTTCTGAAATTATTTAGTTTGACAAATACGCAAAAATAGAGGAAATATTTTTTCATAGCACAATTTTTATATCTTAGAATGTTTTTTAACTGCACTCTATTATGGTTTAGGAGTCACTCCTCTGTGTTTATCTGATAAACCATAGGTTTCAGTATAGAATACAGTCATGACTACAGCACAGCTGTATGTGATCCACTTGTACCAAATAACAGCTACTAACATGTCAGTACTATGTCAGTGTCACTGCACAGAAAACAGTCTCTAATTGTAGAACTACAAAGTGCTCCAGGAAGGTAAGTGAGGCTGTGTCATTCTCACAAAATGGCCTTATAACATGTCCATAAATGTTAGTGTTATAAGCAACACATAGATAAACAATATTCAGTTTATCAGATCAGTTGGAGCTTTTTATGGTGCAGTGAAAACTTTGAGGAGTATTTATTATTTATTATTTTTCATTTAAATGAGCCTTTATTACTTGTAACTGTTGATTTTTTTTAAATGTAAAGTGAACCAAAACAGTAAAATATTTTGTGATACCAGTAAAAAAAAAGCCTCAATGACAAATATAACAAAAAAAATGTGTTTTAAAAAAGAGGTTTACAGATTACAGTGTACAGGTTATGAAAAGAAAACAAAAAAATTAATTTTCCAGTTTTTGTTAAGTTCTTCAAAATTATCCAGCTAATGAGTGTAGACACAAGAATGGTGTACCTAATAAAGTGACCAGTGTGTGTATGTGCAAAGTTTCTGCCAGTAGATGATGCTACTCCCTGCAGACCTGTGAGAAATCTATCTTTTGTCTGTGATTGGCAGGTGAGGCCAGTGCGTCCACTATGTGGGACAACAACGCTTGGGCCTATTTCTATGACAATGCCACTGAGGGGGAGCCTCCATTCCTGATCCAGGACTTCATCCATGCCCTCCAGCCTGAGGCTCGCTTCATCGCCATCCTGAGAGACCCTGTCGAAAGGTCAGATGTCAAAAGGATCAACCAAACTCACAGTTTAATGTACCTCAGCATTAAAATCAAGAAAATCAGATTGCTTTGGTCACTGAAAGCCAGACTAACCACGCATAGACACAGAGCTGCTACTCTCTGCGCTGACTTGCCAACATTTCTGTGTAATTAAATTATTGAAATGTCCATCAAGTCACTCAGAAATGGTTCAGATGTCTTTACAGTGGTGGTGATAGGAACCAGGGGTCGCCATGACTACAACACAAATATAGACATTTTATTTACTATCTAAACCACCAGTGAACCTACACGAGTCTTCTGACTTGTTCGCAATGATAAAATAGTGTTAAATATAGGATTTTTTTGGGGGGGGGACTATTTTGCCTCACAGCACCCTGCATGTACCCCTCCCATGTACTCCTACTATTCAAAACTACCATAAAGGCATAAACCACTGTTAACCAAGAGAAACACAAAGTCTCGTCTCACATTTGCCAGAAGTGACACATTGATGACCCCAGCCTGATGGGTTAAAAATACAATTTTGGAAGAAAGGGTCCTGTTACAGCTAAAACGTGTCAGCAGTGAAACATGGTGGTGGTAGTGTGATCAGGGCTGTGGTGACTTTCCACAGTTAACAGAACCATGAATTGTGCTGTCTACCAGAAAATCCTGCAAGGGGAATGTTTTGTCATCAGTCTTTGATCTGAAGCTCTAGTGCAATTGGGTTTTGCAGCAAGACAACAAGAGCAAGTCCACCTCTTTTCAGTTAAAAAAAAGAGTTTGAGACCACAAACTTTTCAAAACTAACGTAAAACAGTGTTTTAGACATTGAATAAAGTGTTCAGGCAGTGAATTCATAACCATTTCATGTAGTAACTTTCTGTGAGGGAGCTTTTAGAGGTGGACGTCTGGTTCCTATCACCACCACTATGAACAGTTCTGACTCAGTAAGTTTCTCTAGAACACAATTTCAGAATTTCAGACCTTGTGGAAGAAATCTCTAAGGCTGCGTTCACATTACAAGCCTCATTTCTTTAATCCGATTTTTTGGCTCAAATCTGATCTTTCTGACATGATGGTTCACACTGGATTAGCTAAGTGATTCAAATCTGTCATTAATGTGACGAACCGGCGTCCTGAAATGACCCTCATGAGCTCATCCTACTCAGTAACGTCACGTGAATGAATCACGTTCATCATCAGCACAAACTAACGAGCAGAACGAGCTTCACTGAGAAGATCATTAACTCTGATCAGCTCTCAGCTTCATTATTAGAGCGAGACGAAGGAGAAAAAGGTGAGATGAGCTGCTTTTCCACCGTTTACAGGCTTTATCTTCTGTTCGGCGCTGCTGCCATGGTAACGCTGAATGATGGCGCAGTGGAAAAAAAGCACATGAATTCCGATCTGAGGGTCACATTAAGGAAGCATGGCCATGAATCAGATACGCATCCGATCTAGGAGCACATATGAAAGTGACTCACATTAGGGCAGAAAATCAGATTTGTGCCACTTCAGCCTGGTAATGTGAACGTAGCCTAATTAAAACAGAAAAGGTGCGAAGTCACAGAGTCACAATTAAATCCCCAAACTAGTATTTTAAAAATCACAGCCAGGGAGAAGCTCCTGGTAAGAGTACCCAGAGATCTCCACTGAGGCCAAAATCACAGAGTTATGTAGCTCCCCAGCAGAGTGAAGATCACTGGTTAACAGAGAACAAAGAAGTTCCAAGGCATTGGTAACGTAATTACAATATGAATAAACAAAAGAGTTTTAACATTTATGCATAATAAATGAGAAGAAAGAAAGCTCCAATATGGCCAACAGGTTCATCACAAGTTTAGCGTCCTCAGGATGAGCTCGCCTGTAGCTAGCTAAACAAGGCCACTGCACGAAGACTCCACAAAATGTAAGGGGACGCAAACTTGATACCAAACAGCTCATCTCTCAGCTCACAGAGGAGACAGCAGAGCAAGTTCACTCTGAATTATGAGTGACATGCATAACTTTTATAGCCTGTATATATCAAGAAGATAAAGGTTGTATGACTAGCTGCATGAATCTGCTGTCATGCCTGAATCTGCTTCCACAACCACAACCTCTTAACTGTTTAACTGTGCAGACATTTTGGAAATTTGGGGAATTCCTGTATAATCCATGTTAACCACATTCACTCATAATAAAGGAGGAACATCTGTGTTCCTCTAGATTTGTTTACTGGGTTTAAAGCTCTAAATGCTTTGCTGCCTTCATCCATTCCAGAGTGTCCAGCAGATTATATTCAAAATCAGACCTTTAGCTCATCAGATGCTTTGTTTGTTCGCTCCAATCGATCCTTAAAAGAAAACACAGCTGAAAACGTGCTAACTTCAGTTAGCTTTTCTTTTCACTTTTTCAGTGATTTTTGATTTATACCTGCTTTATTTTCACCTTAAGCTGCATTTCTGTGAGTGAAAGATGCAGTACAATAATAATAATAATAATAATAATAATAATAATAATAATTAGGGAACACCTGAATATCTGAATACACATTCTTACAATCATTCTTAAAAACAGTATATTAACATTTCGTCATAACCATGATTATAAATAATTTTAACAATAATTTTTATTAAATATATCCAATAGGTGGCAACAGTCGATTAGTAATCAGACAGAAGCCCAGCTTCTGGCATTATATGTTGCTATAGAAGCTGTAGTTGCAGTCCTTTCATTCATATACAGCTCTTATTAATCATGTAGATGCATAAAGGCTTTCGTTTTGTTTATCACCATCATGGTTTAGTTAGTATTAGTCATGGCTTCAGTGAATTTATGATGCATTTAGATAATTTTAAACATTCTTTATGTATAAACAATAACTATCTGAAGCCCATTGCAGATAAAATTTGTTATAGTTATATATTATATTTTCTTCTTCTTCTTCTTCTTCTTCTTCTTCTTCTTCTTCTTCTATTTTTTTTTCTTTTTCTTATTTTTCTGCTGGCTTACTGATCCACACTCCTCTATATGTTGTTTTTTCATCCCTCCTTTCTTTCATAGACTCCCATTTATTTTGAACAACACGTAGTTACCACTTAGTAACTCCCGGCAAAACTCTTATAATAAACAAAACAAAAACTGCCTAGCAGCACCCTAGCAACCACCTAGGATACCAAAGAAACAGGCAACACCTTAGAAATCACCTGTGGTATCATAGCACCCACCTAGCAACAGCGTAGCAACCAGCTGGGATACCATAGAAACTACATAATAACTACCTATGATACCATAGCAACCTCCTAGCAACACCCTAGCAATCACGTGGAATACTACAGCAACCACCTAGCAACACCTCAGCAAGCACCTATAATACCACAGCAGCTACCTTTCAACACCCTAGCACCTATAAAAAAAATACCATAGCAACCGCCTGGCAACACCTTAGCAACCGTTCTCAAATCGCTGCGTGATGCACTATTGTAGTGTTGTATTATTATTTTGTTGCCATCAAAATATACAGAACCACCGTATAGATTTTGTTTAACTGCTGTGGAAGTCAGGATCAGCATCATCAGGTTCACTCAGCTACGAGCTTTAATCCGTCCGTCTTGCTGCTGCTTGTCCTTCCGTCTTGAAGATCACTGCATTGTGATAATCATCAAAGGGCGTCATTTCAAAGTGCATTTACCTTCTTGTTATTTCTCTTTAAATCAGAGCTGTGATTAGAGGAGAATTAAACTGGAATGTGGGGGACGAGCTGCAGCTCTGATCAGCGCGTTTGAAGGGAAATGTCTGCGCTCGCTGTAATTGCTTTTGTCAGTCAAGCTCAGTGCCTGTAGATACAACCCTGATTCCAGGGTAATGACTCTATTCAGCGCCGCGTGGTTTAACTCTGCCAAATAAAACACGTTAAACAAACCTGAAGAGATAAAGCTGGATCAAACACACTGTCACTGAAGTCTGGATCAGATACACCAGGAAGGCTCCACCTGTTCTAGATCTCTTTACAGTGAGTAATGGATTATTATTAGGAACTGTTTGCAGCCCTGTACAGACTAACAAAACAAAAACAAAAATATGTTATGAAAATATGTTATGAAAATAAACAACATATCGCAACCCAAAAACATAACTTTACAGGAGAAGGAAAAAGCATACTTTACTTTTAATGTAAGTCAATGGAACCAGAATTTTTTCAAAGTCATTTTGGGTCGTTTCTTTTGGTCCATTCTTCATGAAATTTACACACAATGTAAAAGGCAACAGGTATTTTCAAATTATGTAAAAAACTGAAAGACAAAAAATGAAGGTTTTCTTCCGACAGCAGAGATGTGTATTGGTTAGAAGAGGACAGTTAGAAGAAGACGACACCTTTATTTCAACTCAGCAGCACATTGAGGGCGACCCTCATTTACAGTGTAGCTCAGTAAGTTAAACAGGGGTTGAATAAGTTAAAATAAAATGAAATCAACTAAAACAAATCAGGACTAGCTAGACTAAATGAACAGTATGAGGAAAATAAAATAAATAAAAGCTTAAATAAGAAATAGAGATAATAAAATGTTAATAATAATAAAATGAATTTTTTTTAATAAAAAAATAAAATAAAATAAAAGACCCAACTAAAATTATAGACAGTAAGAAAGTGACGGTCTCTCTGCACTCAGTCATCCACCAAAACACAATTTATTTACAATTTAAAGGAATTTTGGGAACGATGAGAAGGTACGACATGGTAAAGAAAATAGGAAATGTTATTAAATAGTAATAATTGTATGAATAAAAAATGCTAATATGTTCTAATATAGTCCTGTATAATTGGTTTCAGATAATCAGTAGGACACTAGAAAGCTGTAAATAAACCTGAGGAAATGTTAGAGGTGTCCAGAATAATCAACTGAGAAAGAAATATAGAATATTGAATATTCCTGTAGAATACTGAGAATAAAACTATAATACAATGAATATCCTGAATATCTACGAGAAGTGCAGCATATGATTTATGATTTAATGTGTTCTTGTTGATCCCAAAATGCATAACATATTGAATAAAATGTCTAATAATACCTTTTTGGTTAACAGTACTTAAATCTACATTGTATAAGCTCGTGTGTGTTTACACTGAAACTTATTGTTATTATTATTATTATTATTACAAGCTTTTGAATGCTCGTGTAGAGCTCTCTCAGTTATTATGGAATCATCTTCAGCTTTGTTCATCATCAAAAATGTCTTTTTTACAGCTTCTTATAAATTATTTGAAACCTTTTAAGGTTGATTTCCCAGACAGGGATAAAGCCCAGTCCTGGACTACACAGCATTCTGAATGGGGAGTATCCATTAAAAGGAAACTGTAGTCCAGGACTAAACTTAGTCCCTGTCCATCTATAGGATACTGACCCTATAAAAGAATCATTTCATACATATGTCTGCATAGAATTTGTTTTATATTATTGAAAGCAGTGATTCCAAACGGAAGCTTAAAGGGAAGTAAAAAAATCATAAAGTATTGATTATTTCCTTTATTTCTCTGAATGTTGTGGTTTAATGCAGGATTAGACTTAATGAGTGTCCAGAAAATGGACATTTAGATGTGATTGGAGCAAAAAAGGGTGGCAAAATAAAAACTGGTGTGTTTTGTGCAGGTTGTACTCGGACTATCTGTACTTCGGGATGGCCAACAAGTCTTTAGAGGATTTCCATGAGAAGGTGTGGGAGTCTCTGCAGCTGTTTGACGCCTGTCTGCAGGAGTTCAGCATGAGGGCCTGTGTGTACAACAGCAGCCTCAACAACGCCATGCCTGTGAGTAACATCAGCACAGTGAGGAGAGAGAGAGACAGAGAGAGAGACAGAGAGAGAGACAGAGAGAGAGACAGAGAGAGAGACAGAGAGAGAGACAGAGAGAGAGAGAGAGAGACAGAGAGAGAGAGAGACAGAGAGAGAGAGAGAGAGACAGAGAGAGAGACAGAGAGATAGAGAGAGACAGAGAGAGAGAGAGACAGAGAGAGACCCTGCGAGATGAAGAGCCCTTGTTTGTAATGTGTTGTATGCAGTTAAAAACCCGAGACCGGGTGGTGTGCAGGGTATTCTTAATCACGTGTATGCAGCCACACATGCGAGTGTGTCTGATTAATAGATGTATTATTAAAAGATTTAAATGCTGTGACTTCACTCTGACTTACCCTGCATAAATTATTTAAAAAGCATATCCATATTCAAACATGTTTTCATTCTTCAAAGCTGCATTTGAAATGCATGAATTTTGGATTTTTATGGAAATATCACTTTTACTAAAAGGTCACAAAACTGTCCATGTATGTGAAAACAAGGAATGTAGCAGTTTCAGAATCATAATTAAATAGTGTGTTTAAATATCCCTGCCCTTCTCCCTGTCCCATCTTGTCCTGTCTTGTTCCACCCTGTCTCACCTTCTGTCCCAGTGTCTCACCTTATCCCACCTCCTGATCCATCCTGTCCCACCTCCTGTTCCACACTGTCCCACCTCCTGTTCCACACTGTCCCACCTCCTGATCCACACTGTCCCACCTCCTGTTCCACACTGTCCCACTTTCTGTTCCACACTGTCCCACCTCCTGATCCACACTGTCCCACCTCCTGATCCACACTGTCCCACCTCCTGTTCCACACTGTCCCACCTTCTGATCCACACTGTCCCACGTCCTGTTCCACCCTGTCCCACCTCCTGATCCACACTGTCCCACCTCCTGTTCCACACTGTCCCACCTCCTGATCCACACTGTCCCACCTCCTGTTCCCCCCTGTCCCACCTCCTGATCCACATTGTCCCACCTCCTGATCCACACTGTCCCACCTCCTGTTCCCCCCTGTCCCACCTCCTGTTCCACCCTGTCCCACCTCCTGATCCACACTGTCCCACCTCCTGACCCCTTTTGTCCCACCTCCTGACCCATTCTGTCCCACCTCCTGATTCATCCTGTCCCAACTCCTGATCCACCCTGTCCCACCTCCTGAATGATCCTGTCCCACCTCCTGGCTGAACCAGTCCCACCTCCTGATCCACTGGTTAAATTTACCTATGTAATCCTATGCATATATTTAGACCTTGTTCTTTATATATAAATCGGTTTAGGCAACAAAAACAAATACAACATAATTTTTAAATATATGTACTTTATCAAAATGACAGACAGATTTTAGTGATTTTTTAAAAAAGTATTAAAAACATAATTAGGTCTATTACTACATTATGTCCTCTGGGTTGATTTCAGAGGTAAAACATGTAAAGTAACCAAACCTCTCAGAATCTCTCAGTTCAGATAACAAATCGCAAAAGGTAGTTAACATCTAACTTACCAAAAAAACTGTCCACAGCAGTTGTAGAGGAGTCAGAGACGAGCGTCTGGCAGATGACCACTCACCACTGCCTGGACATTCAGCATCTGTTGTTTCTCTGCTCTCCACTTCTCTTGATCCTGTCTACTTTACTCTTCCCTACTGTGTCTTCCACTGTCTAAAACTCAGTTAAATTCAGTTTAATAAAAACAGTAGTAGCCAAAAAGCACATAAGCAAGACTAGTTGAGATAATTAAACTTGACACAAACTGTCACTTTTTTCTCAACTTTTTCATCACTCTTGCAGTGTAACCGCCAACGCCCCCCCGCCTTATTCCTACTGATGCTCTCTCCCCAAGCTGACTGCCAGAGATGACCAAAGGCGCAGTGCCAGTGTCTGAGCGTCCAACTTCCTCTCTTTGCCCAGAGCAGGAAAGAGGAAAGCACTGTTTGGCCACTCCTCTCAGTATCTCCCTCCGTGGAGTCAGAGTGGAGCAGTTCAGCTTTTGTGCTGAAATAAAAGGCTTGGCTCCTCTTCATTACTAGGCCTCCTTGTGTAGCTGCGCTCTGTGGCCTGGCTCAGAGCTGCACCGTGAGCCCCTCTCTCTGTAATTGGCCCCCCGGGGAGCCTCTTCACTCACTGTCACTTGCACAGCCTTGTTGACTCTTGTTGGCCATCCTTCACAGCGAGCCTCCTCATGGAGCGCCGCTCTGGGGCCTGGATGGTGTTCGTCTGGCCTCCGCATGGAGATCTAGCCTGAGGCCTTCCATGGCCCACTCAGCTGAATCCCAGGGACGTTCAACGGTTTGTCTAAATTAAACCGATGATGTTCAATGACTATCTATCGTTAGCTCAGTAGCTAAGCTAGAGAAACGTTAGATCTGAAGCTTATAATTGTGCTGTAGGATTTCCAACCTAAATAATAGACCAATACAAGCCTAAGCAGATTTCTCTCTGGGAAAAATGAAGACTGTTTAAAAAATCTCATTGGATCCTCTGAATTACGAGGCAGTTAAGGAGTCAAAGTTCAACTGTTCCTGCATGCAAGTTAACACTGCTGTGCACTAAACTGACATCATAGGACTGGAAACCTCACCATAATAGCCCAGAAGATCCAGCAAGCTTTGTTAAAAGTGGCAGTTTAGACTAGTTTTGTTACATAATAGTGTTGAAGTTTGACAGAAGGCTGACTTTCATGCGACATCATTTCAATATGCATTTCAAGAGTGCTAGCTTGCTTGTAGCATGTATGTAGCATTATTTGCATTTTGAGTACTAAAATACAAACAGATTACAACATGATCCAGGCAGTCAGAGGTCTGTGGCTGCATTCGCATACAGTACTGTCTTAGTGTTAGACACCAATTAAAATGATTTACAGATATTTATCTGCATAGTAAATATGTTTTTGTTTGTAAAAACAAAGAACCCTGTATGATATTAAAATCATCATCATCATCATCATCATCATCACTTTTATTTATATAGTTCCTCTCTCAGGCTCAAAGTTGCTTTACAATCAGAAAGTAACAAAATACATAATCAACAATACATAACACGGTTCCCACAGCTAGTGGTGGTGTTCATTGACCATGGAATAGCATCACTTAGTTAGCCTGGAAAGCACGGGGGAAGTCTGCCCATCACAGAAGCGGCCAGCCTGGGAAGCCTCAAAGGCTGAAAATGTCCTCAGCCTCGAAGAAAAGGCTGCGATGTAGCGTCACTTAGGCAGCTGGCCTGAGAGGCCTTGTAGCCGCAGCATAGCGCTGCTCATGCAGCCGAACACCACCAGTCCAGGCAGCCTCATGACTGCAACGCAGCGTCAACCCAGGCTGCAGTGCCCCTGTCCAGAGAACCTTGTAGCCGTGATAGAGCGTCACTCGAGCGGCCGGTCCAGGGAGCATCATAGCTGAGATGTAGCATCAACCAAACAGTCAGACCAAGAAGCCTCTGAGCCACAGGTTGGAAAATCTCTCTCAGCCACTGTCTCAGTGGAAAGGATGGCAAACTTCTCAGCCAGCAGGGAAACATCAAAACATACACACAAGCAATACAGAACAAACAAAAAAACGATGTAAAGCGGCAGCCATACTGCACCAGCGTACATAGAGTGGAGCACACACACACACACACACACACACAGAGAGAGCAGAATAACTACAAATAAATATAAATACAGAAAAGTATGTATACCATGTGTACAGTCAGTGGATCCAACTTCTCCATGATTCCAGCCTTTCACTCTCCACTGTTGCTTTTGCTAGTTTGCTTCTTGTTGATTAATCCAGAGGTAAATGTAATTGATTTCATACCTAAATATAAACATAATTCCATTTAAAAGGTTTGGAAAAAACTGCAGTAATAACTCTGGACTGCTGAGAGTTAACTCATAAAAGCTCATAGAGTTAAATTCACAATGCACTGACAGATTAATCTCTGGATACTTAAATGATTCAGTGGTGAGTGCATCACTGGATGCAGCACAGAATCTTTAAAAATAGTGGAAAAAAGCCCTGAGAATCTGACAGACGGGACGTCTGAGGAGGCCAAGGCTGGCGATGCAGGAGCTGATATCCAGGAACAAAAGGACAAATGGAACAGATGATGTTTGTTTGATTGGCGGCGCATTTATCTGAGCAGCAAATGGGCTTCAGGGTCCAGCTAGAAAGGACGGCCGTCTGACAATCAGGCTGCAAGAAATCGATGTGTAATTATTGCTTGGAAGCGGCTGTGTGTGCCTCTGTTGCTCTTATTGCAGTCAGACTTGTATAAAGTGCAAGTATTGCAAAATATTAAAGGACCCCTGAGGTCCACTTGTGATGTTTGCGTGGGTTTATGTACCAAGAGCAGTCTTATCATTTTTACATGACCATTTTCCAGCCTCTCTTTGTCTCTTACAATTAAACTTGCTGCTTTTGTTACTGTGCCTTCAAGACTGATATAAGTAAATGAGCTCTGTTCCGATTGGCTGGCCTGCATTGAATCTTATTCTAAAAGCAGTCCAGGCTAAAATGATGTACCTGTAATGCTGTGTTTATATGTTGCCTTTGTCTGAGTGTCAAAGTGGCACACAAGTGGCGGTTTTATGCAGCCATGGAAACGTTCCCATGGTGCCAGCGTCTCGGAGCAGAGCTTTAACAGCATTTAAGGTGGAACGAGACAGGAACATGCTGCTTACTCTTTTTATTTCTTCCTGTATAAGACTGGATGCACTAGCCTGCTCCACCGGCATAGGTTGGAAAAATTAATCTCTTAATGGAACGTTCCGCTGACCGCTGTAGCACGAGGCCATTTCCGCTGGCAGTAGCACATTTTTCCGTCATTGGAATATTCCAACAATGGAATATTTAGTTTGCTGTCATGTAAATTACATTCAGATCGAAATCTTCATGGATGGAGAATAAAGCTGCAGTCGCTCCTTTTGGATTTGTGGATCTGTTGGAAGGCTGTGTCTGTGGTTACATGCAAAGATTTTCTCCAAACCGATTGAATAAATTCCGATTACAGATTCAGACTGAGGTGTTTATTCTCACTCTGCTCAACAATCTGATGAAAATCTCCGTTTTCAGGCTCACTACAAGTAAACAGATCCAAAATGACCCTGATGCGTAGAGAACCACTTAGTGTAGACGTTACCATGACAACCAGCATCACGTGAGTCCAGTCAGAGTGAGATGAGCAGCAGTGAGCAGCGCTTGTGTTTTTAACTGCTTTAAAATGATGTCAGACTCAGGAAAACGTCCTTCACATGTCCTTATTAAAGAAGGCCGAGAGGAAGACGTCGTGTTCTGAGACACATAAGCTGGACGTCCGTCCCACCGCCGTCTTTTAAAGATCAGAGCATAAACTTCGTCTCCTCTGCAGACCAGTTTCTGCTCCGCCATGTTGAACGGTATAAACTCTCACTATGACCCGACGAACATGATCAGAACGGACTTAAACTTTCCGATAGGGAATGTAATCAGATACAGGCGATTACACGGATATTATTCTTCTATTTAACTGATTATTTACAGGATTACCCACCTCGATCAGTCGGATAGACACTGTATTCTGAATGGCCTCAATCAGACTAGACCATTCTGATTAAGGTGTATAAATGGACTTGTTCTATTGCGATTGAGCTATTAGTCAGATTATTAATGGATTATTAGGCTGCATGTAAACATGGCTTGCAATGGTCCATTTGCTTACCGACAGCCAAGAACAGCACAACGTTTAATAATTTTCTTCACTCTCAATCTTCACTCCAGTAACTCTGCTTTAGACTCTCTGCAGGAACAACACTCTGTGACACTTCAGTGGGAATGGGCGGGGCTAAACTGCTCATGTGTAAATGTGTTTATGGATATGACATCACAGCCATGCTGAATTGAAAATGAGTTATCTTTTTCCTTTTTCCTTACTCCTATGTTCTCTCTCTCTCTCTCTCTCTCTCCCTCCCTGTTCTCCCTCTCTCTCTCTCTCTCTCTCTCTCTCTCTCTCTCTCTCCCCCTCTCCCTCCCTGTTCTCTCTCTCTCTCCCCCTCTCCCTCCCTGTTTTCTCTCTCTCTTTCTCTCCTCTCTCTCTCTCTCTCTCTCTCTCTCTCTTCCCCTCTCCCTCCCTGTTCTCTCTCTCTCTCCCTCCCTGTTCTCTCTCTCTCTCTCTCTCTCTCTCTGTAGGTGCGGCTGCATGTTGGTCTGTATGTTGTTTATGTTCTGGACTGGTTGTCGGTGTTCGGTCGTGATCAGCTCTTGGTTCTGAGGTTGGAGGATCACGCTGCAGACCGGACGCTCTCCATGCACAAAGTCTTCCAGTTCTTGAGTTTGAGTACGTAATAAACACTCTAATGTTATCGCGACCTATTATTTATCTGTTTGTTTTTTTTCGTAGTTGGTCATGTTATTACACAATAATAATAATATTAATAATAATAATAGTAATAATAGCATCATGTTATTATATCGTAAAACAAAAAAATGTATTATAGCAAAAATATTTCAATAATACTAATACTACCACTACTATTACTACTACTAGTCATAATAATACTACTACTACTACTACTACTAATAATAATAATAATAATAATAATAATAATAATAATATTATTATTATTATTATTATTATTATTATCATTAGAAGTACTAGTAGTAGTAGTATTGTTATTACATCCTGGCAGTAATAACTACTATATAATAATTTTAAAAACTTAAATTCTTTCTTGTTAGTTGCATTTTTGTTGTATTTTTATTTATACTTTTATCTTGTGCTTTTTAATTGTAATTATTTTTATTTATCCCTTTTTCTGTTATTCATTATTTGTTTGGTTTATTTTTGATCATCTTTTCTTCTGTTGTTTTTAGGTGTTTAAAGGTGCTATATAAATAAACAGCATTATTATTATTATTATTATTATTATTATTATTATTATTAGTAGTAGTAGTAGTAGTAGTAGTAGTATTAAACTCCTGTTATTTGTAATATTATTGTTATGATTGTTCCTCATGACAATAATAAGTATTATAATTATTACTACTATTACTATTATGATAATGATAGACAATTACAGTTATATACTGTGCATCATGATATTGTGATATTGTGATGATGAAATGTGACGGTGTGCATCATGCTGAATTCTATAATTCTAAAAATTCTATTAATTATGTCGTCTAATGGGAGTTCAGTGTCCGTCATACACCCTGACCAAACACAATAATCACCCATAACATTCCCAAATCTGTGTAGTTGAATGTATTTTTATACCTTTTCTGTTTCTTTATTTATTTGTGTGTGTGTGCGTGTGCGTGTGCGTGTGCGTGTGCGTGTGCGCGTGCGCGTGCGCGTGTGTGTGTGTGTGTGTGTGTGTGTGTGTGTGTCTGTCTGTGTGTGTCTTTCTCAGGGTCTCTATCGGAGCAGAAGGAGGCCGAGATCACTAAGCGTCCAGCGTCCAACACTCGGAGGCTAGCGGATAAAAACCTGGGACCGATGTTGCCACTAACGCGAGAAATCCTCTCCGATTTCTACGGCCCTTTTAACAGGAAGCTGGCCAACGTGCTGCAGGACGACTCCTTCCTCTGGGACACTCACTCCAAACCAGCAAGCAGAAGCGGATAACAGACAAACAAGAACCGAAACAATCAATATTTTCCACAGAACGTAATCAAAAACGGGTACAATCACTTTCAGCTTCCAGAGCGCAAACTTCAATTTTAATAAAACGCACTTAACCAGATCATAACATTATTACTTTGTCCCTAAACGTATACTTAATGAAGTAACAGTGACTGATTGCTTTGGTGTTATTGCTAATTTGCTAATCATGCAATCACGAAAATTGTTTTGAAGTATTAATCTCAGCAGTAAGTGACCAGCAGAGTGTGGATACAGAAGTGGAGCTTGAGATACAAAAGCACCAAAATCAAAACCAGAGGGTAAATATTCATCAAAAGGCTGCCAAAATACAGTCAGAAACCCAGTGTAATGAAGGCTCTTCAGACGTGTTAGAATTTCCCATTTTCAAAAATCAATTTCAAAAATTACAAAACCAGAAAAAACAGCCCAAAATGTTCAACAAACCATGAAAGCTTATAAAACCCAGCAAAAGCACCAAAGGAAGTTCAAAGGAAGAAAGTCCAAGAGTTCAAGTACAAGTCCAGACCATAAATCTGGAAAATGTAGAGGGGTCGTTCTCCATTTGGGGTGGGAATTCAGGGAAACACATTTTTGAAAAATCAATTTCTTTCATCCCAAAACTAAATAATCTTAATGTGTCCATTAACATCTGATGGTGACTCCAGTGACTTTCTGGTTAAAACTGAGGATTTTGTAAATTGGCTGACTCGTTGGCTGATCAGGTGACCTTGAACTACTATTTAAAATCAGTAATAAAATTATATTTTGGCAAATTTTAATTACCCAGCCATTAAACCAGTGACACATAGAAGTTATGAGCTGCCTGATCAACAAAATGATTAATAAATTAATGAAATATAGTGAGCGAGTGTGACTCGCCTCCTCAGGCCTTGAGCTGCTTCCTCTCTGATGAGCCTTGACCCAAAGAGGCAGTTTAATACTGTGTTAAAATGTAAAATAAGAGTCCTGATAACACCAGTGACCACAATCTTTGAGAGAAATGAATTTTTAAATAAAATACATATATTTTAAATGTAGTGTAACGGTAATGATATAAAAAGTAAGCATTAATCTTTTTATACAAATTCCTGAGTTAAACCTCTGAAAAATATTGTTTTATATTAAAAATAGTTGAAAACTGGTTTTGTGCTGAGCTGGTTTACAGATGCAGAGTGACTATGAAACAGGATAAAAAGAGAAAAATCAGAGAATCATAAGGGAAAAGTGTTATTTAATCTCAGGTCGACTGTGTAAACGCATCTTTTCAAGCCCTGAAACCTCTGTGACATGGTTACCCCTCCAAATGCAGAATGACCCGGAGACGTGCGGCTCAGTAAGCAGACAAACTGGCAGTACTTCACAGAGAGCATGTGATGGTGTGGGTCCTTATAAAGGGTCATAGATGAGCTGCAGGTGAATGAGATCAAGGTGTTAACTAGGAAACAGTTCAAAACTCAGGTGAGGCTGACCTCTGGTGTCAAGGGTGTATATTACACGTGATCGACTCCAGAAATGGTCCAGACTTCAAAAACCAAAAGGACAAAAATACAGACAAACGTCTCTGAATCATCAGCAGAAAAGAGCAGCAGTACCTCGAAAGAATATGCAACATCAGTACTGAACTGTACTAAACTGCATCCTATACTGTACTAAACTACAGTACCATACTGTATCACACAGACTCTGTACTACAGTAGTATGTGGATTGAATCGTTCAAATAGTCCAGATTCAGGTGTCTGTGAAGGGCAGAGCTGGAGATCAGTAAGCTCTTAAAACAATATATAAAACAGAAAATTCCGGTCTTGAAATCTGATTGGCTGAGCCACGTTTGAAGCCACTGTAAAATCCACAATATTAACACATCTGTGACGCCTCACAGTGACTGAACTCTGTATCACTGCACCACGGCATGAAAATCCCTTGTGCTGTTAATGGAATAATCTTTGACTGTAGTCTTGATCACATGGAGCACCGAGTGAACTGAAGAAGTAAGAACCTGTTTTTAGTTTAAACTGAGGGGCTGATGACTTATGTTCTTATCTAGAACCAGGCTGGTCAGCTAGCTAACAGGCTAAAAGAGCCAACAGCCTAAACAGCTCCATCATTAATATCACAGGCTTGAATTAAAGTACGTACGATATGATTCACTGAAAAACAGCAATATAACACACAAAAGAACATCACCTGAATGTCTTACGTGCTTCAAATGTGTTACAGTCAGAAGTCGGCTGAATCCCAAACGGCTCCATACTACCTAAATAGTGTTCTAGCTAGGGAAGTTTACTCCAGCCTCTACAGTCAAACAGTATTGAGTCAGTTTATCGAGTGTGGATGTGTCTGAGTTCCAAATGACTGTTTCTCAGCTGTATTTTGCTCTGTTGGGCTGCAGGATCCAGTATTTAAACTCCTACCTAGTGCACTATGTAGGGAGCAGGGAGCCATTTGAGATTCAGCCCCAATGTGAGAAGAGGGGCCGCTGGATTGGTGCTAAATAAGACTCGTGGTGGTGATTTGGTGACCAAAAAGTACTTAAAGTGAAGGTTTCGCATAAAACAGTGCTGTTATCATATTTTCGTCGTTATAGGATTAAAAATTCATAAAATGACCGCAGTGAACAGCGATGGGTGACCAAACGTTCTTCTCATTCAACGGTACATGGTTGCTTGGCAACGATACCATAAAGGAACTACATTTGGAGGAATACTTGTTTATGTTGATTATTATTAATATTAAATTATTTTATGAAAAAGTGTGTATTTTATCATAGTTTATGTTGGCCCTGGTTTTATTAAAGCAGTAAGCCACTTGAGGCTGTGCGTTACAGTGATTTTTATCCAGGAAAGGGAGTTTTAGGCATGTTTAAGAACAACCTCCCCCGTGATAAAATCTCAGTAACACACAGCCTCGAGTGGCTCATCCTCTCATAGCTTAATACTTCAGTGTAGCACTGCAAAAATACAAAGAAATATAAAAACAGTTCTTGCTTTTGTTTACATTCTGTGGAAAATATTGCATATTTTTGGTTTTCGTTTCGGTTCCCTGTGCGTTTCTAACCCCGCGCACACTTAAGCGGCCTCACAGAAGCACTGGCTCCGGTATCAAACAGCGCTTTTCTCGGCTGTTGCTAATCTGTGTGTCAGAGATGAGAGATCAGAGCGAGGATTAGTGATCCTGAAGAGCGCGAGCTGATCTCAGAGATCTGAGAGACGAGAGTCAGTTCCCTACGGGAACCTTACTGTGTAAATAAAATTATTTTTCTAAGTTATGGAGGGGTCTGAGTGAAAGATGGGGCAGTGTTTGATGTGTGATATGAGCGTATTTTTTGGGGAGTGGGTCATTTTTATGTGCATTTTTCATAGGGTAATAAATGACACCTGTAATTTAAGAACTGTGAAAAGAAAAATGACCAGCGTTGTCGTTCTTTCATTGTGTGGTGAATGGGACACATTTTGGTGTGATTTATTTGAAGTCGGTGCACCAGAGATGACCACTTCTTTCACACATTTGTAAACCAGCCCTTCTACCCAGTCCCATTTCTTATTTTCACCCCTACCCCTTGTTTTCGAGTGTTGCCCCTTGGAATTGAGTTACAGGGTAGTGGTTGAAATCTTCCCTCTGAAATGGGACCCTCAAATAAAAAGAGCATCACTTCATTAACAGCTACCAGCGCTGCTCTGTAGGAGACCCTGCCAGTCTGCAGTGACAGCAGAGGAGGGTAAAGTTCAGCTCCTCACTGCTGGGCTTTAGTTACATTTAGGGACTCATATGATCTTCAAAGAGGGGGGCAATTATTTATTATCACCCACCCCTAATTCTTCAGTGATACGAAGCTGAAGTCAGATATTCACCAGATTCTTGTTCAGATTTACCCGTTCCACCTTAAATGGAGCAGCAGTTACATTCTGGTGTTTCAGGCTTCAGAACTGCTGGACTATTTAAGGTGGAATGGGAAAATTTAGCTCGCTACCGAGACATCTAGCGATTTTTGTGCTTGTAATGATGAAAAGGACCAGAAAACATTGAACATTAAACTAAGATAAAACAATGATTATTGTACTTTTTAACAGAGAGAATTTATGGGGCTCACATTTGTGGGTTTCTTTGGTCGCTTGTTCAGCCATCTTACCAGTTTTTCCTGGCCTCTGAAAAACCTCCGTTTGGAGGGTCATGTAGCTCTAACACTTCACCCTCCCCCTCTATCTCAACAAGAATCAGGACACCCTACCCCTAGACGAGAATGTGCAAAACGGAGTGATGAGGGCTGAGTGGTGGGGGCGAGGGGTGAAATGGGATTAGGCCTTTAGGTCAAACTGTAGTTAACGGGACAAGAAAGATAAGACTCCACTCACGTCACTGTTTAGTCTCATTAGACTCCAGTCGTCTAGATACAGGTAATATTTAGTCATGAATAGTGTTAAATAATAATTTAATTTATTTTTAAGTATAATTCATATACTTTCTATTCAGTCAGTTAAACCAGTGTGACCCCACTGATCTGGAACTAGTCTGAAAAGAAAGTTTCAAGCCTGCATGTTTTTGCGTTTTCACTGCTTTAACACACTGGGCAGGTCACGAGGGGCTTTATAGCTAACTGTCGGTTTCTTAAAGGGCTCATATCCTACATTTTTCTTGGATTTTCTTGCATCGTTTCCCATTTTCAACGACCATTTCCTGCATCTTTTTATCCCTTACAGTTAAACAGGCTGTTTTTGTTACCGTGCCTTTAAGACTGATAAGTGAATGAGCTCTGCTCTGATTCGCTGGCCTCATTCAAAAAGCAGTCAGGCTGAAACACTCCTTATAGCTTCAACATGAGTGGGCGGGGCTGAACAGCTGTATGCTAAAGAGGTGGATATGTAAATTGTGTTTTAATGACATCACAAAAACAATGAATCTAAAAATGGGCTGTTTTTGGAGCTTAATTCTCATAAATGGACTGTATGGATTGGGGAAGGATTGGTTTGTTTACATGCTACATCAAAGTCCTTTACCTTAAGAAAACAAGGAAATCTTGTTTGTCTATGAAATGGTCCTTTAACTGAATAATTTGGCCAAATTCACACAGTTCTGTTACCTCTACATGAACTTAATTGGCCAAGACATGTTTGGCTAATGTAGCTAACTAGTCAGGATACACAATGATATCGGAATCATATCAGTATCGACAACTATTTGCTTTAAAAAAGAAATCAAATCCAGGTAGATTTAGTCCATCAGCAACGGCCTACAATTCCCTGTATTGGTGCATCCCTACCAACAAGTGGAAGATCATACTTTAAAAATGAACATCATACCATAATTATCACACATTCGCTTCAAACCTGTGAAGATATTAAAGAGGAATTCCACTTATTTTTCAAGTTTTCTGCACAGTTAAGTTGTTGAGATGTAAACAAAGTCATTCAGGTTGGTTTGGTGTGAAATGGTTGATTGTGGAGACTCAGATGTCTTTACAGTGGTGGTGATAGGAACCAGGGGTCGCCATGACAACAACACAAACATAGCCATTTTATTTATTATCCATAATTGTCCTACATGTGTCTTCTGAGGTTTATGTAGAATGTTGATGATAGTAAAATAGTGATGAATCAGAAAAAAAGTATTTTTTGGCCAAAATCTTCGCAAAACTGTGGTTAAAAAAATATCTTGGTGAATTCATAACCTTTTCACATTA